GTATGGCCACCCATCTCACAAGAAGTGACTCTGGGTGGCATATAGCAAAAAAGTATAAAAAATAATAAACGTGTCAAACACAGTCATATTTAAAAAGTTTAAACATGCACACACACACACACTCACACTCACACACACGATTCAGTCAGCAACAGAGCCACCTCAAGATCTCACCAGTCCCCTGAGATTCCCAGACCTGATGACAAAGCAGGTCTTGAGGACTTCCAGAAAATAAGGAGGGATGGAGCTGACCCTCACTTCAGGGGGGAGAATGTTTTTGAGGACGACATTTATTCTTTTTGGAAAAACTTCTGGATCCTCTTTCCTTACATCCACTTTCCATTCATTCAGTTGGGAGCTCATCTACATTATAGTAGTTTTTCATGTCCTTTTCCTAAGAACTACTGTTGACACTACTAAAGAATGGTCTGTTTCATGTGCAGAACATCTCACCACTCTCACCATCCCTTCATTAATTCTCTCAGTCTTTCATCATAAACAGTCAAATCAATCATACTTTTAGATTTATATTGATTCCTTTATTATGTGTATATACAGTAAAAATAGATTTATGCTTAAACTACGTATCTGAAACTAGCAGGTCTTTTTCTAAGCAGATATTCATCATCATCACAATTTGCAATCATTCTTGGATCTCTGAAGGCTCAGTCATGTTTTTGTGCTCTCTTGTCTCATTTCCACCCATCCATTTGTGTCATTTAACAGTATAAAATCCATTCAGAATGTTTGCCCTAAACTCTGATTTTTTTCATTATCTCCATTCACTGGAGCATAACATACAACTGTCACTAACCTGTGCATTCCTACTTTCTTTTGCACCTACAATAATCTAGATGACGCCAGTTCATATTTTCTGATATACATTTTAGTCGTTTCAATCATGATTAAACATACTGCACTTTCCTGCATGAATTCAACTCCACTCCACAAGATCAGACCACCTTCACTCAGATCTGTTACATCTTTCCCCTGTTTTTTTGGGTTTCACAGAGACACGGCATACCTTCCTTTCCTTAATTTTCATTCATGAATTCAAACACTTTACCATTTATTCCTCTTACACTCCTAACTACATTCTTGTATGCCATGGTTGTCACTAGATGGCTCATAGATAGGTAACTAAACTGCCCAATATGACTTTGGTCAATTGAGGTTTTCCCATGCTGCTTTTTAGTAGCACAGGGAGAGAGGAGACTAGGTTGTCAGCCTGCTCCCACCAGTGTCACATGTGAATTCCATGCTAGCTGTGAAGACACAGTACCAGCCAGTTCTGGGGCCCACTGGCCAACACACCACAAGCACAATCTGCATCCCAAGCATACTTGTGCTGTTCTACCCAAGCTAGAATCGGTGAACTAGTAATGTCCTTGCAAGCCAGCATACTGTTGCCTTCATCCCACCAATGAGGAGATACATACAGTGTACTGACAGACACTCAGGTCACTCATTGCCTGTGGATCCTGCAGAAGCAACTCACTCTAATTGCCTAGAGCCACTTCAGTATAAAAGGTTATGTTGAAATCATCTAGGGATATGCAACTGTGTTGCATACAGAACATAAATGTTGCAGGGCAGGGACTGGGATCTTGGAAGAGATGAGAGATTTCCATTATTGGCTAAGAATTACTGAAGGGCTCCCTGCATGGGTTCTGGCCAGAGAATAGAACAACGAAGTGGATTACAAGGGCGATCTATCATGTTGCTGTTTCTACTGTTGGTGGGAGGGTCCGAGATTTCGGTTGCTTATCTGGTTGCTTCTTCCCTCACTGCAGACGTAGCAGACGTCAAGATGTCCGGCACGGCAACCCCATCCGTCAGTGCAGGGGTTACAATTCCAATGGTGGGTGCCATATTCTTAGTCTCTAGGAAATAGAGGGCAGCATTCCCCGTACTGGAAGCCCTGGGGAACAGTCGCTCTGCTTCTTCTGCCCCGGTGCCTGTAAAGTGGATCATAGCTGCCTTTCACGTACTATTTTGATCCATACAGTAGATAGATCAATGGCTAGCTTACCAGAAGAGATCAGTGGAGGGTGGACTGTCTTGAGGTATGGCTATAACTATGTATCTGCCTTCCTCATTTCTGTACAATAAGCCACGTGAAAGGTTTATTCCCGATCACCTGTTTTTGTTTTGGAGGATAAAAGTAACAACAACCTAGTTTCTAGACATCACAGTTGTGCAGATTCATTTGTGGGACAAGACGAAGAAGGCAGCCTTCAAAGGATTCCCTGATCAGTGTTTTTATTACCTGCCTCATTCTTGTGTCCATTTGTCTGATTGTTGTTTACCTGCAACCACATTAAGATCTGCCAGTTAATATCTATATAAAGCTAAATGACTTTGTAAAGTATTAAGTTACAACAAATGTTTTCCAAATAGGTACACATTTATATGTGTGCTTAATTTATTTTGAACACATACTAAGAGTTTCCTTCATGTGTAATTTGGACTGTCTTGGCCCAGAAGATAGGCAGACAGGGATAAAGCAGGCAGAGACTTTTTCATGTTGGATGGATGAATGGATGTGATCAGAAAAAGGAACATGACTGAAGAATAAGAATGTATTCAGACCAACATTTTTGTACTTTCTTGTTTCACTATAGCTGGCTTTGTAACGAATGCAACTGGTAAATTAGCTATATTTGTCTTCTAAATATCTGCAGTATTTTATTTGGCATCTCTGAGGATAAATTTCATTAACCTCAACAGGATAGGCTCATAGAGGACAGCGCTGTATATTGGCTAATTTTAGAGAAGCCAAGTTCTAGAAGAAAAGATGCAATTGTATGTATAAAAAAAACAAATTAGTATTCAATAGAAGAGAATATATGTAGCCTAGGGTTGAACTGTGGAGTCCTTGTTGTTTGAGCTTGGTTGTTTGCCTGCAGATGTTTCATTACCCAGCCAGGTAACATCATCAGCACTCGCACTGTTGATATTACCTTTTTGGGTAATGAAACATCTGCAGGCAAACAACCAAGCTCAGAGAGCATCAAGGACTCCACAAAGTGGTATATCAAGTAGAGGACAACAGCCATAATGAAGGACAGTTGCTGTCCAGCTGCAGGAAAGTTTTGTGCCTTTCATGAGGTACCAGCTTTTCAGCAGGAGAAGGATTCAGGGTCGCAAATCGTGTTCAATAAATGGCATGGGTTCTGGTGTCCTGTGCACATGTACAAATGCAGACATATATATATACATACATATATATATATA